CCGTCAAGCAGTATTGCATCCATTATTTTCGCTGACATTATTTCTAGTATCACCCTTATCGATCTCGATGTCAATGCGATTGTCTTTATGAAAACTGTTTTGTTTATTTTGATATATTTTGAATGTTTTGAGGAGCATGAGTGTTAAATTTTTCAGAATTTACATTACAATATCTGCGCCAAAATGGACTAAACAAACCAATCCTGTTCTCGGATCCTCCAGCTGCACTGGGAATGAAGTAATTTTTATTTTGAACTTTCACTTTTACATGTTTTCGATTGATACGCATGCTCACAGTTTCGTCAGTTTTCTTAAAACACATGTGAATTCGTTCATCTGAACGTTGCAAAACGAAATCCTAGTCCATTCTTTAAAGAATAAAAGAACCAAGAATCATTAAAGAATCAAAGAACCAAAGAAGAATTAAAGAACCAAACAATCCATCATTCTGCAAAACAGTTATTAAATTTAATTCTGATGCTCTCTCAGATTTCTCATCGACGTACCTCAGTGACTTAAAAAAATGTTTTCAGGATGCCAAAATCGACAAAATTTTCCGTGCAAAGTGTTAAGAATCTGATTGGTGGTGATCGCATCATCGAAGTGATCGAAGTGAATTGTCAAGGAAGTCGTCAGATGACACTCACTGATTTCATCAAATACTACAGGTTCTTTGCACTTCTTTTGTTCTGATCATACTAACAATAATGACGAAGACTAATATCAATTGTACTAATAATCTCAATGATAACAATAATGCTGGTGATTATAGCGATGACAATGGATACTAATTCATATGAATATCTGTGATCATAGCATACAATTGTACAGCTTAATATCATGTTTTTTTATAAAATCGAATTAGTTGAGAGCATTTCAAGGGTAATGTGCTCACAGCAGTTTCTTTTTCCTATTCTAAGCAGCAAATTATTTGCGTGATTGCATTTTTGCAGAAGTGATCCATCGAAACGAACGGTTCTGTTGAATGTTTTATCGCTGGAATTCTCGATGTCACCTCTCGGTGAAAAAGTCCTATCGCCGGCACTTGTCAGAGAGATCGATTGGGTCGAGCTCTATTGGCCACCTGAGTTGAGGGTCGTTGATGATTCGGATGGCGATTTTCAACCACCGTTTCCGAAAGTTCAACAGTCAGTTTTTTCTATCTGCAAATTAATGACAGATTTAATAATCGCCACTAGAGTTTGGTTAACACATCTGAAAAAATGAAAGTATACTAATATGAAATTGCAGTTATTGCTTGATGAGTGTCAAGGATTGTTTCACAGATTTTCACGTTGATTTTGGTGGCAC